AAAGGAGAAGAACACTCAAACTCAACTTACTAATACAGAATGAAGCAAAATATTTTAACATATTGAAGGCTATTCAGTATTGGACATATTGAAGGCTGTTATTGAACAATGGACCCAGAAGTTAATTTTAAGAGTACCTGCCTGAATAGACAGACTTTGTTTAAAAGATGCTATGGAAGAGGAACAAGTATTACCTGACATGATTGAGACTGATTTGAAGGTGGATTTAAAAATGGCAGGCTACAAGAATGACATGGAAAAAGCAGTTACACTGGACATACAAAAGAAACCGGTTGATGTCTTAATAATTAAAAGGGATATACAAACAACAACCAAGAGAGTAACCTGGATAATTTTCCCATATTGGATTTACAAAAGAGGCTTGTTAAAGTTTTGAAGACTTTTGTAAATAGGGGCAAAGAAAAAATGAAAAGAAATCAATTAACCCTTAATGGGCTGTTTGCTGACATCAGGACTGAAATGACGAGGTTTTATGGATTTGTTTATAGAAAAGATGGGATATGGGAAGAAGAGATCATTTGTTGTATTTTAAAAGAAGGTGATAAGTTACTAAAATTGTTTATGCTTGTTGTGATATGGGAAGAAGAGATCATTTGTTGTATTTTAAAAGAAGGTGATAAGTTACTAAAATTGTTTATGCTTGTTGTGATATGGGAAGAAGAGATCATTTGTTGTATTTTAAAAGAAGGTGATAAGTTACTAAAATTGTTTATGCTTGTTGTGATGAAGAGGGAACTCACTTCTTTATATATTTCTTTTCTTTACTATATTCTTATTTTTTCTTTTCTCTTTTTTTTCTTTTCTGCACCTTCTATTTTTCTTTTTCTTTTCTTTTTTCAGTTTGTATTAGTTTTTACTGTTATAAATTATGATCTTTAATAAAATTACTATTAAAAAAAACCTGCATGTATAAGCAGTATCTGAGAATATGTATCTCATGCGCACATCTCTAATTCCTATTCCTATGCAGGGAAGTGATTGAATGGCTAATAGCTGTTGTCACTGGGGCCAGAAATTCCCAGCACAGAAAATACATACAGGAAGCCAGAAGTCTATTGACAGACAAATCCAGAGCTCAGAGCTGCAACTCCTCTCCAGAACTGCCCTTAAATAAGACAGAACAGAAAGAGGATGCCTCCATACAATTTCAGATTCAAAAGTAAGCAGATTCAAAATTTTGCTTTCTTTGAGATTCATACTATAGTGTGTTTTTCTCCTTGAAGATCCTAATCTTAAATAAAACAGTATCTGTTGTTTTATGTGAGAAAACAAACCTTTCCAAACTTGGGATGGCCTAAACACATTCAGAAAGTGTTAATGGTATGGAGTGCACTTGGTTGTGACTAATTTAAAATGTAAATATTTATTTATTTATATATATAGCTGCCCATCTCACAAGTGTGACTCTAAGCGGCTCACAACAGTTAAACACAACTGTCCTAAAACCACAATTAAAATTCAATAAAACATAATCACAGTCGGTGAATGTAAATCATACATCCATTTAATATTGCCATTGCCAAGGCTCGCCATTACTGCTGGACCCCCAGGCATGATGGCACAGCCAAATCTTCAGGCCCTTCCTCAATCTACATGCCGGGGGAATGACCTTCCAAAGGACAGGTGCCATGGCAGAAAAGGCTCTGTTCCTCGGTGCCACCAGATGACATTTCTTAGTAGAGGGGACCCATAACATGCCTCCCTTGCCAGATCTGATGGGATGGATAGCTGTAACGAGGGAGAGGCAGTCTCTCAAATATCCTGATCCCATGCTACATAGGGCTTTATAGGTCTTTACCAGCACCTTGAATTGCACCTGGAAGCACACCAGTAGCCAATGAAGCAGAGGTGTAACAAGTGCTGCTCAAGGAGTGCACGTAACTGCCCATACCACCACATTTGGCACCAGATGCAGCTTCCAAATGGTCTTCAAGGGCAGCCCCATGTACAGCATGTTACAGTAATCCATATACTATACATAGGTACGTATGTATTACAATGGTAATTAAGAATGTCCATTGTCAGTACATTGGGGAGCTGCACAGTACAAACCTCTCATCCGGTTTCAGTTGATGCCAACAGAAAAGAAAGATCAGTATCCTTTTGGACAGGGCCTCCCTCCTGTTATAAGAGTGGTGCAAAAAATAACAGTAACAGAAGTATTGGTAGACACATGTGATATGACTACTCTTCACGGGAAGAGCATTCAGACAGTCTCCAACTATGTGGTAGCTCAACCAGAGGAAGCAGTTTTGACAGCAACCCCACCTCAAGGGGCAAATTGCTTGGAATTGGCTCTCATCTCATTCATTCACTTTCCCAAGGCTATATGAGTTTCATTAAACAGCAGGATCTAAATGGTGTTGTCTACCGCAATTCAAGAAATAAACTCAGATTCCTCAGTCTTCTGAAATGACTGATCTGAAGGTTGCAATGATTGCCTTAGCCTGTGGTTTCATACTTCCACTATATGGTGGAGGTCAGCTGAGTAACATTTGGTTTCTCTGGGTTAGGGAAGCGGCACTTCTGCAGAGGATGCTTTCTATAGCAGTTGAAGTGGACAAGTCTCCAAATTGCAGTGCCAATAAAATTGCAGGTGTGGTGTTTGATTTCCTGTGGAAAATTCCCAAGCATTGCCAAAGGTAAGGGATAAGTAAACAACTATTGAGTTCACTCTTTCTCAGAACTGACTTCTGTGTTGATTGCTCAACACTGTATTGGCAGCGTTCTCATTATATTCCTAGGTCGTCAGACAGGCAGTTCTGAGCAAAGACCAAGTGCTGAATCTGTGCTTTTTCTAAGAGAAGATGACTAAATGTCTACCACAGATTTGGAGAGCCATGCCAAAGTACTTTTTTGAGTACAGAAAGAACAAACTGCATGCCCTTGCTTTTTTAACTACATGTTCCCAGGTGGATACATTTGTATGATGCAAATATAGGGTTCCTTGAGACTAGAGAAATCTGTGGATCTCCAAATGTAGCTAAACTAGTTCCCAGTATCTCTATCACCATTACCGGTAATGAAGGTTACTAGAGTACAGCCACATCTGGAAGTCCATAGATTCCCAGATGTGTCCAGTAACAAAATAAGCTAATTTTTTAAAAGACCTTTCAAAGCACACAGAGGCTGGTCAGCCAAGCAACAGCAGAATCATGGCTGAGCTTGTAAAAGTCTATAAAAAGGTGGCCAGGAGAAATCAAAGTCACTGATCACTTCATTAATTGTAAGGTTTCTAAAAATGAAATTGAAAATGAAATACTTTCATTTTCCACCATAAATACATTTGAATTTCTCTCACCTTGTCCCACCTTGGGGAAAAAAGATCCGCAGAAGATGAGGGGAGAGACTTTTGACCAACTTTACCTCCATATATGGATCATGGCTAATCACTGATGTCTTCTTCATGAACTTCTTGTGACCTGCTGGTAATCTACTATATTTTGTGGCAGTAAATTCCATAATTACACATTTTACAGAAAAAGTACATATTTTAATCTGACCTGAATTTGTTGCCATTCAGATATACTGAATGATGCCAAAATCTAATATTGTATGAATGAAAAATACTTACAGCGATCCACTGTCTGCCCTTGTTCAGTTTTATAAACTTCTGTAACATCTCCCTTTAATTTAGAAAACATGTTCTGAATCAGATATAACAAAAATTAACAGACAACTAATCTATTTGCCAGTGCTTACTTGGTTCCCCCACCCACTCAGTATACAGGATCTGTATGGGTCTTTTGCAGTCTGGTGCCTATCAGATGGTTTGACTGCAACTCCCAATACGCCTCAGGCTGAGGTGTGGTTCAGCACACCTAAAGGATGGCCAATGGAAGAAGACTGGTTTGACTTCACTCCCATGGCAATAAGGCACAATTTGGTTAAAATTTAATTATAAAGCAGTTAGGGAAAATACAGTTGACATTCAGCTATGTTCTAGAGAAAGGCATCTGTAAGATCCTTTAATCTATTTAAATTAGCCCAACTTAAACTGGAAGGTACTATGTTAGGAAATGTTGATGTACATTTAAAGGCAACATGCTAAAAATTCAGGCTTAAGTTTTCCAGTTAATGTCTAATTCTACAAATTATGCATTTTTTGCTAATAATATCTTTATAGAATTCTGTCATATGCCTAGTTTCTTGAGAAAAGTATTAATGAGCTGGTTTTAGAACTGGTTATAGGTTGTAAAATTTACTAGTAGTAGCGTAGAAGCCTAAATTACATAGCAGCACATTTCAGTTTCATCCCCAGGTCACCTTGTAAACGTTCCATTTAATAATTTTATGGCTATAGTTTTAGTATTTCAAAATCAGCCATTATCATATTTCTATAGTGCAGCATATCACATTAATCAATTTGTCCTTCAGGCTATGAGTGTTAAGCGTGGCTGTTTATCAAATTGAAATCAAGCAGATAAGCTTAGGATGAAATCTATCCTGACCTCGACTGAACATTTCTCCAGGTGCCACAAAGTAAACATCTGTAGCAGGATAGCATGTTTTAATTTTTCTGCCTGCAATAATTGAGGTATATAAGAGATAGTCACCAAACCTTTTAAGTGAACTTCACTGGTCATAGAAAGAGCTTGCATTTTTCTCTAATCCACAGAGAATTGAGACCACCTGTGCTGCTGATTTATCTTTGCCTGAACAAGTTTCATTTGATCGGACAATGCAGATTCAGAGAAGACTGTTTCATTTGACTTCCTTGTTTCATTATATTGTTCCTTTGATTTAGATACAAGCCTCTGTGAAATTACTGGTCAAAAGGTAGCATAGAAAATGAAACTTTTCACTATATCCAGTGTATCCACTTGCAGGGACATCTTCCTGAGCACAATGGAGTCCCACCTTCTACGATGCAAAGTGTTGGAGCTCATTTTCGAACATAGCTGCCCAATACAAACCAAACAGCCTTTGTCTTTGGCAAAAATATTGCATTTTCTGAACCACTTTTCTCTGGGGCTACCATATCAGGTAAATTCAGTGCTTGCTTCCTTCATTTATACTGACAGGACTAAAACCTGAAATGTTAACTGTGCTCATCCCTACAATGTTTATGCACTGCTTAATATGAGTGTGTTGTTACCAAAAGCTCTTTGAAGTATACTATTTAAAAACACTTTTAAAATATCAATATGCAGCATTTGTAAAATCCTAAATAAAACCCTTCTGTTTACAGGACAATGAAGCAACATGGCAGAGATGGGATGAGATGCTTAATCAACTGAACTTCTTGTTGCTGAGTTACCGTACTATAGTTCTAGGTGAGCAACTTGCTTATGGCTCATTAATTTCTCTGCATAACTGTCTGATCAATGGTCTGTACTGTCAGCTAGAAAACTACTTAATAGAGCATCTTGTACGCAGAGACGTGCAAAATATTCAAAGCCTGAAATGGCTATTTCAGGTATTACAAGCTTGGAAGAAAACACCTTACACTCTAACATGTGGTCCCTAACTTTGGATAAAAATGAAGTGTTTCATTCCATGTAGTTTGGGGTTCCAGTGTTTTACAATTGGCTTATTTCTGTTTGTCTTTCATTCTTCCAAACCACGGAGTCTGGGAGAAGCGTAAGCCAATAAAATGTCAGGTATGTCTTTCTTCCCTGCTGCCATTGGTTGGAGTTAATCAAATGGAGGGCAGGCCAAAAGTAAGGGGTAAATATACATTTGAGCTTAAAAACTATCTGGAACAGAAATTATTTGCTTGATAGGTTTGCTTCCATTTTAAAATTATTTGCTATTGGGAAGTTCAAAGGTATCCATATGGTCAATGTTTCTTTTTTAGGTGGCAATCCAACTGTAAAAGTACACAATCTGTTGCCTACTTTACTTTGTAACTGAGCTGGAGTCTGCCAAAGGCAAAAGCTGTTACTTTAACTTTGCAGCAATGCTAAATACAAGAAATGTGCATTACACAACCATGTGTTTTTGGAAGAAGCCTCAACCCAATAATCTTTTTACAGTTGTGTTGTTTATATTGAATGAATTTACTGCTGGTACTTCATTGCTGGACTCAGTTTTGAACCTGTTTAGGCAGACACTGACTGTGAAGAGCAACTGTTGCTTTCATTATTGTGGGAATTTTAAAACTGTTTTAAAAAATTAAATCATTCCATTGACTGAGCAAGGGATAATTTTGAGTTCTCATTGCTTCTATGAATTCAGTGTTTCAAGTGGAGCTGTTTTGTACTGAACTTAGTATAAAGCTATTTTTATTTTGTGTGCAACCTTAGAGGTTTGCCATCACTCACTAATACCAAACAGGAGCAATTATGTATGGAAAAATACTTCTGTTTAATTGACAGAATTACATGCTGGAAGCATATTCCATTGTATAGAGATGCAATCCTCAGAGTATCTTGGAATTCTAGCATTTTTAAAAACTGACTTTTTCACACATTAATTTTAATTCACATGGGATGAAATAGAATTTTGCCTGTTACAACTACTACATGTTAATTAGAGCCTTAAATATCAATCTGGTGGTAAAGCATAATCTTTATAACTAACTTTCAACAACTGCTTCTACCCCTTTTTTATAGGGCACTTAAGAAGCTCAGTTTGTGAACGTATTAATTTAATTAACAGAGCTGCTAAACCCAAACTACAGTTACATGATTATATTGAAAAAAGGGATATAAAGCACAGCATTAAGAGCTTCCGCAAAAAACTCTGCCAAATTCTGGGACTGCCAATTCCCTCATCCATCAAAGAAAAGACTGAACTACTTCAAGTATTGCTTTTCACTGCTATGGATATCTAACTAGAAGGGCTATTGGATGGCTGAAAGATGGACTTCTTCCAAGTGGAAAGTAAGTGTAATAAGTTATTTTTAAAAAATTAAAGATTAAGCCCTCTTTCTTTGTATTTCAGTAAAATGCACTGTATTCCCAGTCACTGGATAGCTCAAGGACTTGTCAAGTTTATTCTAAATTTTTGTTAACATACAGGTTTGTCTGTCTAGTTTTATTGCCATTCAAGTTTTGTACACCTTTTATAATAAATTATTTTATTAGCTGAAAAGCAGAATGAACTTTGTCTTTTTTTAAGATGGCAGGTTACTGGAGATTAGATAGATGTACAGGACTATATTTATACAGATGTCAGTTCACTGAGAATAGGACATGCTCCCAGATAAATCTTAGTAACAGATAATACATGCAAGGCTGAGATCTTGCTATAATAAGTACCATATTTTTCAGTCTATAAGACAATACTTTTTTCTAAAATCATTACACTAAAAATTGAAGGGTGTCTTATGCAAGGACATAAGCCGAGGAGAGAATCGCGCGGTTGCGAAACTGCCCATACTTTGTCTCTGCAAACAGGCTTCCTCCAATCACGAGTGAAACTGCTGATAG